TTCCCTGTTCTAGCCCAGCACTGTCACTTTAATTCTGGCTATCTAGGTGGATTCTAAAGCAGTGAGTTTGGTGAGAAGACAATATCCCCCATTTTAACCTTGCTCCAGGGCTAAGTCCTGTACTGAGCTTCCTGGGTGGCCTTCGAGAAAGGCTCTGAGCCACCACAGCTGATCTCCTCTGTGTAGGTTACAAAGGGGAGTGGCTTTCACCTCTGTGAGACCCCACATATCTAGATACTCTCTATTCCTTTCCATCTCTCATGTCTTTATTATAATAATTTGCTAAAAGCCACAAAGAGCACTAGACAATGTGTATTAATGTTCCGGCTCTTTACAACCATTTCTAGAGCTATGGATTCAGTCAATACATGATCAGCCTTCCAAAGTGTCGTAAAAGTGGTTTTACCAAATGTTTTTTTAAGGTATAACAAGAGTCTCCAGCTTTCCGGCCTACAATATCTGTACCCTCCCGACGTGTGGCAAAACCACTAAGTCAATGCTCATATTGTGGGGGTTTTGCTAGGACAGCACCCCACTGCCAGTACTAACTTTCGTTTATTTAGGGTAACAAAAGACTGCTATAATAAAGAGATCCAATAATGATTTAGTGGCTCCAAGAAGACAGAAGTGTGTTTCTTTCACACGTAAGAGTCCATGGAGCTCACTCCAGATTGGCAGGCTCTTTGGTTCTACAAGGTCGTTCAGGAGCCTGGGGTCCTCCCATCTTGTTTCTTTGCCATCCCCCAGGCCAGCGGCCTTCTCAGCTTGATCACTGCCCGGTTGCAGGCACATCTATGTTCCTGCTTGTGGGAAGCGGAAAGAGAACATGGGAGTGGGGGGAGGGTACCCTTTAAGGCCGAGGCCTGGGAGAAACGCACTTCTCTTCCCAATATATGCCACCGGCAGAAACTTAATCACATCAGTAGACCTAAGCACAAGAGCATCTGAGACATGGAGTCTGGCTGTGTGCCCTGGAGGAAGGGGAAAATAAATGTTGGTAGGAAATTAGCAGTCTCTACCATGGACCCGGGAGTTGAACGGGCAGGAGGTCATTATGAGTCATGTGGCCTTCAGCATAGGCTGAGAGGACCACCGTCCATGCGAGAGGTCCTCGACCTCACCCCACACAAAGGCCACAACATGCACATTCCTACCCAGAACACAGGGCCAAAAGGCCAGCACTGTACATATTTGGTTGGTAAATTTGCCATGTCCCCTCATTCCTCTCTAAAATGATGCCCACCATCTTCCCCTGTGCCAGTGGGGGCCGGAAGGGGCTGCATGGCAGCACCAGGTGCCTGCTGGGAGATGGAAGGGTATTCCAGCCTCGTTTCTCCGAGAAGCAGATGCCAAGATGCGAAATGAAACAGAGAAGAAGCCGGCAGGCTGAGATGCAAGAGCAACCCTGAGAGAAACAGACGGTGAGAGGTGTCCATGGACTGTCCTGCAGTCTAAGAGTTTCAGCAGAACCATGGGGAAATCCCTGAGCCAAAGGCCACCAGCAAAGAAACCACACGTTTCTCAGGACCGATTCTTCTTACTATCCTAGCTGTGCACATAGTCATTGGTGGGGAGCAGCCTGTGGGGGGCAGGGGAAGCATTTCAAAGCCAGAGCTGCTCTGCCCTGCTCAATTCACCCCCTGTAACATGAGGTCTGCACGGCCCATTCTCACGGCTGCCACAGGGGGTTACAGTAAGAAGCTGGGCTCGTCTTCTCGAGAGAGCACAGGCTTTCTCATCCGTAAAATGCCTGGGAAACATTATCAGGATGAAAGTAGAATACCCACAGGAACACTCACTTATCCCCTCCCCATTTTGCCAGAGCCTAGCAGACTAGGATTCACCCCAAATGTGCTCCCTGAGGGAGGACGCTCAAGTCCACAGCTGACCCCATTCCCTGGGATCACAGACAGCCCTTCCCTTTCAACCCCACACCAAGCAGGCCCAGATTTGGCACACAGTGGGCTGCAGAGGCCAAGCTGGCTTTCAAAACAGTCCAAGAAACACCCTGATAAATATCTCCCCCAGGGCCAAAGAGAAATATTTAGAAGAGGCTGCCGGCCAGGACTGGGATGGCCACTCGTTACTTCTGCTGGGATCCAGCTTGTTTGAAAGCTGGTCACCCAAGCTAGAACTGTGGGATGAGGCCCAGTCAGCAAAGGGAAGGAAGGAGGCATCTCCTTGGGCAAGCCTGCAAATCCTGATGGCTATAAATCCAGACAGCTGGGCAAGCTCCCACCCGCCCGCGCCAGCTGGGCAGCTCCTGGAGAGGCGCTCACACTGGTTTTCTCTCCCCGCCAAAGCCCATTCTCCAGAGCACTCTCTATCTCACCCTCCCTCCCTCCTACTCTCTATGGGCCCCCTTTCTCTCCGAGGGTGGCCCTTGTTCTTCCTGGTCTCTTGGCATTTTCTGGCTCCCGATTCTCCCTGCATTTCCCAATCTCTCCACGTCTCCAGAGTCTCCCTGTCGCCCCTAGGGCCTCGTTCCTCTCCATCTTTCTGGTTCTCATGCTCTCTTGCTCCCTCAGCCCATGGCTCTCCCTCATTTTCCGTCTCTTCCACCGTTTGGCCTCCCAGCCCAGCCCAGCCCAGCCCAGTCCAGCCGCCTCCTTGGAGCTATGTACTGCCTTGGAACGCCTTCAAGCCACAGGGAAGAACTGAGCCCCAGGAGTTCAGAGGGATCTCAGAAGAGCCCCCTCCCACCTCTCTTCCTTCCTCCTCTGTCCAGGGCACAAATGTTCAGAACCAGAGAGCACCCCGGACTAGCCTGCTGCCAACACTGCAGCATCCCAGCCTCGCCCCCGTCACCCAGCCCCTTTCTATCCATGTCACTGCCTCTTCCAAATTCCTTTCTACATCCAGCCATTAGAACTAACTGCCAGTTATAGGCAAAACTAAGAAACTGGGACAAACAGGACATCGCTTTTATGCCAAAGAGTGGGGAATTAGCTTAATTAAAAGTAGAACATTTATTCAATAGACTAATTTAAAAACAAACCAAGAAGCAGGCAAGATGGGCATCGATCTTCCTCATTGCTCCCTTACTCATTTTAACCCAACAAACATTTCGGAAGCACCGACTCAGTGCTGGGTCGTGCCAGCAGCTGAGTGGGAACTGAAGTTGTGGGATGTGGTCTTACAACAACCCCTGGATACTGGCCAGGCTGAGCCAAGGAAGCTGCGGAAAGGGCTCATGGCAGGCCAGAGAAAGAGGCTCTCCAGCAGAAAGAAAGGTATTGATTGGCAGGTTTGTGGTGCCCAGAGGGGAGACGCCCAAGCCAGGATCTCAGGCCTATAACATGTGACCCTGTGAGGAAGGTTTGGGACCCAGCTCTTGAACACTAGAAACAGGAGCTACTACTAAAAACGTAAGATAACATGGGGGTGGGGAGAGTAAAATAAGGGAAGAGAATGGGGGTATAAGGTTTCATTTTCACCCCAAAGAGCTCAAACCAGTATAGCCATGGCAGCTACAGAGGCTGGAATCAAAGTATCCATCCACAGCTGCCTCACCAGGCTGAGGCCTTTGCAGGTAAACACCTTCTGTCATGCACCATGTCTCCCCAACCCCGCCCCCACCCCCAATGGAACTGACTGTCCCAGCGGACTGCCATGGCCAATGTGTTTCCAGGGGCTAGGACAGCGCCAAAGACCCCAGTCTCCGAGGCCCTGGGCCTGTCTTCCTCTCTTTGAGCCAGTGAGAAGGACATTCTTTCAGGCCCTGTGGGTTCTATTTTTCTTTCTTTTTCATTTCTTCTGCTCTCTCCTTTTCTGCAGAGCCCAGGGCTACAAGAGGTGCAATGTGAAGAGCGAAAAGCTGTTCAGATCCTCTGCCTGGCGGAGCCGAGCATCAGCCCCCACCACCAGAGGGCACCGGAGCACAGAAACAGGACAACCTGGAGAGAGAGGAGTAGGAAGAGCACCCAAGCTCTCCACGCTCCTCTGGACTACTCAGCCTGGCATGGCCGTCAAATCTGGAGCAAGCCTAGAGGGGCGGGCTGGTAGGGGACCCAAGCGTGGGGTCCTGCCCTCCTCAAGCAAATGCTGTTCATTACCCCATCACCACCTGCTGCCCGGTGGTCCTGTTACACACTAACCTGTTTGGGGTGGAGACAGAGATGCCAGGCAGCTGCTGGAAAGCACTGTCAAGACAGAGCCACGTAATGGAAGGAGCCCTGGACAGTCAGGAGATCTGGCTGCACCTTTGACACTACTTTCCATGTGACAATTCCCTCCCTACTAGGTTTGTTTTCTCATTTGTAAACGAAGGGGGTGGGGAGACTGCGTGCTTCTCCAGAGCCCTTGAGTTCTGACCAAAGATATGCCCCACCCTCCCTGCGGAACCTTGAACAGGGCAAAGGGGAGGGTTGGATCAACGAACCGAAACAACGGCTATTTGCGCCCCAGAAAAGGGTCGCAGGCACTCCTCTGAATCAGCGCAGGGGGCTCAGGCCCTCACCTGCAGGTACAGTGAGGACACACCCACATCCTCACCAAGCTTGGGCAGGCTCCAGACCCTCCCTCGCATCCCACCACCCAAATATCCCTGCCCAGATCTCCCTCCGCTGGCTTAGACATCTCCCCACCCGCCACCAGGAAAGGGCGTGGAGCAAGTAGGGTCTTCTGCGGTAGGTGTGGGGCGATGACCCTGACCTGGCCTCTCTGAGAGGTCAGCTGCACCCAGGAGGGGGCTCTCTGTCCTCATAGCCCCGACCTCCGCCTCACCAGTGGCTTCACTCCATCCCGGACGCCAACGATGCGGAACAGTCCAGGGAGGCAGGAGCGCTCTGGGCTGGGTCTGGATCCAGTCGGGGAGGCGGGCCATGGATCCAGGGCACTGGGGACTGTGGCCTCGTTCCAGTGACTGACGCTAGTGTAGTTACCTCCACCCGGGGATCCCTGGCCTCCCATTCCAGCGACATCCTTCCCCCACATACCCCCACCCCCAACTTGGGAGCCTGGACCCCCAAGGTTCAAGAAGTCAAGAACCTGGAGATATGCAGTGTGCAAATATATTGACTTTATTTAGTCTCCGATCGGGAGCCTCACAGACATATCCAGGTAAAAAGATTGTTAAATAAACGCCGTCGGCCATCGCAATGCAAAAATAAATATCAATCCTCCGGTCGCAGCAGCAGCTGCACTGCACCCCCAGTCCCATCAGCCGCGCCTAACGTTATAAAAGTATTCAGCGAGAGTATATCTGCGTGAGTGTGAACGGGTGTGCGCCGGGGGGCACGGTGGTGGAGCGGTGTGCAAAGTCGGAGTTGCATCCCATCGGACAAGGGAGTGGAGCAGCTCTTCAGGAAGCCCTGAGGACACGGGCGACTGAGCGGGGAGCCTCCCCGCGCACACTCACAGCAGAGTTCGTACTAGGAAGAGTTAAAAAATAAACATTTACAAGGGCAAAGAAAGCGGCCCGTCCCTGGCGCCCCCGCGCGCTCGGACCCAGGACTGGCGCAGCTCTGGGCGCACCGACCAGTTCACAGTCCGGCCGGAGTCCAAGCACGCGAGGGCGGCGGTCCCCAGTCCTCGGGGGTCTCTGTAATGCAGACCCTCTTGGGGTTCGCTCGCTACTTCCCCCGCGGGCCGCGGAGGCGCCCGAGTCCCCGCTGCCTGCAGCGCCTCTCACAGGGCCGAGTCGGAGTCGCTGGAGTCCAGGCTGTTCCTCAGTTTGCAGCTGCTGAGCTGCTCCCTCTGCAGCGACAGGCTCTGCGTGCTGCGGCGCAGACACTCCAGGCTCTGCAGGAACGACTTCTTGGCCTTCTCCTCCTCCATGGGGGACACCCCCTCCTCTTCCACCTCCTGGATCTCATCGAAGGTCACCGGCTGCGTCTTGAAGCGGGACTGGCGCGGCCGCCGCAGCCGGCCCTTGCCCTTGGTCAGCTTGGCTGGCCGCACGGGCTGCGGGAACTCGTCAGCCAAGCACATGAAGTGCGGCATCACTGCCTGGTAGCTGGAGCAGATGCCCATCAGCTCGCCCGGCTTGGTGGCCGCCATGGCGTGGCCGGAGTCTTCGGGGCCGGGCGGCGGGGCGGCGGGGCTCTCCGGGGGCGGGGACGGCCGCTGCGCCGGGACCCCCCGGGAGGCAGCAGCCTGGGGCTCGCCGGGCGGGGGATCCAAATCTGCTGCGGGGTGGCGGTGGCCCTGGCCGG